TTGGCCTTCTTGGCAACCAGGGCACACTGCTGGCTCATGGTCAGCTAGTCATCCACCAGTACTCCCAGGTGCCTCTCTGCAGAGCTGCTCTCCAGCAGGTCTGCCCCGAGCCTGGACTGGTGCCTGGCGCTGTTCCTCCCCAGGTGCAGGACCGTGCACTTGCGCTTGTTGAACCTCATCAGGTTCCTCTCTGCCCAACTCTCCAGCCTGTCCAGGTCTCACTGAATGGCAGCACAGCCTTCCGGTGTATCCACCACTCCTCCCAGTTTGGTGTCATCAGCAAACTTGCTGAGGGTACACTCTGTGCCTTCATCCAGGTCGTTGATGAAGTTGAACAAGACTGGGCTATGCACTGACCCCTGGGGGACGCCACTAGTTACAGGCCTCCAACTGGACTCAGCACCGCTGATGACATCCTTCTGAGCTCTGCCATTCAGCCAGTTCTCAATCCACCTCACTGACCACTCATCCAGCCCACGCTTCCTGAGCTTCCCTAGGAGGCTGTTATTTTATGTGTCAGAAGCCTTGCTGAAGTCTAGGTAGACAACATCCACAGCTCTTCCTTCATCTACCCAGCCAGTCATGGCATCATAGGAGGCTGTCAGATTGGTCAAACATGATTTCTTTATATGAATATGAAATCTAGCTGCTGTATATTTTTTTTAAACGTCATCACAGGATGGATTTGCAGCTGTCTTGTTCTCCTTTTTTGCTTTGTTATGTTCCTCTCATCTGGTTAAAAATAGCCCAAGGGGAATCAGTCTTGACCGCGCACTTCCTCTTTCAAACTACAGATTTTTAAAATTATATTAAATTGTTTATAAGAACATGCAAATTAGGAGCAGTGGGTTTTGCTATAATACTATGAGCTGTATACAGCAATTCTGTTTCTTGCAGTTATTGGCAGGCCACACCTTTCCTATATTGGGTAGTTGAACAGATTTATGGGGAATTTGTGAAAGTTCATAGTGTAGGAAATTATGTAATTTGAATGTTAGCATTACTAATTTTCTCCTTATCTAGTGTACTTTTGCATTTATAGAGTTCTCTTTAAGTTTTAAGTCTGCTGCTATTTGTTTCTGAGGAAGAGGCTGCTGCACCTGTGGAAAATGCATTGCAGGACTGGTGTTGCTTTAACCTGCGAGAAAGCGCCTTGATTGCATAACCACGATGTCCTCACTTTTGATTCAGAATCAAAAGCCAGATCCAGATTTTGTGCTTGGCTTCTGTCTACAGGGAGTTGAATTAGACAAAGGTATTGAATCTGTATTCTCAGTTTAACTTTTAAGAGGTCTGAAATTTGACTACTGCTTGGGCTCTCTGGCCACATCCACATGATGACCAGTGGCTGATGCAATACACAATGTAAGCCTTGATGCCAGAGTGTCCTTGGGAGCTAATTGCCTCTTGGCTGTGATGTCAGAGCATGGTGTAGAAGAATCACCTGAGCTGCTGGGAGCGAAGTAGCATTGCAAGTCCTGATTATCCCTTCTGCAAGGTGCAATGTAGAGAAGGTACTTTTCTTTTTTTATTTTTCATATCGGGCGGTATCAAGAGGCAGCTGGGTTGCAGAGTCTGCCAAAGCTCAGTTAGGCTGCACAACTGTATGTTCCAAACTGGTTTTCTGAAGATCCTGTTTTATTATGTGCTGGTAATACAGTCAGCCACCAACCTGTGAAGTGCACACTGGCAGAACTCCCCTGGGCACCACTGTTTCTGAAGTTACAGATGTAGTTGCAGCTTAGTTTTGTACTCACTGGTGTATTTGTCTTGAAATACTGCAGACTTCCAAAAGGGAAAGGTGATTTGATTTCTTCTTACAGGAGATTTCTTCCTTTTACCAGGAGAAACTGAGGTATTCAGAGCACAAGAAGGGCTAAAAACATCAGTAGAAAGTATTCTGAGCTCAGTGCATTTATTATTTGACACTATCAAAAGGTGAAAGGAATCAATCATTCAAGTGGGCATTGTGGAATCCCACTTATGGCAGGGTGGAGACCAACCTGGTGATAAATGTTAAAGGTCAGAGCACTGCAATCTAATCAGTACAGTGTGATCCCCAGACTTCGTATTGCAGGCACGTTTAATATTTTATTATTGCAAGTGGCCTTTGAAAAGGCAGGGGAAGGAGTGGACTTGAGAGGTGGTGATCTGTTGACTTGGCACATGTTCACTTTAGGTAAGTGTGAGGAGTATCCAGCTATGTGGAACTGATGCCTTGAACAATTTTGGATAAGAGAGCCACTTTAAATGATTTTAATTATCAGTACTTCTACTTAAATGAAATTAAATCGGTTTCTCATTTTGCTAGTATTGAATGTCAACATAATAGTTTAATGTCGGATCTTAAAGGAAAGTGTCAAATTCAGAGAGGGCTGCTTTTCCCAGACTTGCCCATTACGCTAGGAGTACATGAAATGTGCAGTAATGGTATCCCAGGTCCAGTGTCTTGAAATTAAAATAAGTGAAAGAGTGAACAAAACTGAAACGCTGAGCTTGGGTTATACATGTGTTTTAAACTGGGAGGAATATGTAGGGAAACAGATCCTTTCTAGCAAGGGTTTGCTTGTTGTACTCTGAAACTGTATCATAATGACACCACTAATCAGTATTCTCAAAGGTACTGAAGTGACACAGATGTTGATGGGAGGGGGGGGAGATGGTTTGTGTTGTTTCGGCTTTATTCTTGCCCCAAGAACTGCCTTCTGATTATTTTTCCGTCTCAGTTTCTAGACGGAAATAATGATATCAGGTAGCTGAAGTCTCTCACTGTTGCTGAAAATCTTCAGCTGGTCTTCTTACTTGTGTTGAAAGATTTCTCTTCCGCAGCACCACTCATTTTGTAAATTTTCTCACGTGCAAATGAGAGAGAAGTGTGTCTAGGGAATGACATCTAAACTGTAGAAACTGGTCTGGAAGGCAAGGTGAGGAAACCAGACACAAGAAACAGCTGGAGAACTAGGACAGTTTAGCCCTGTTTGGTGAAGGGAAAAGCGTTAAAGGCTTCTTTATCATTTGTTGTGTACAAGGAATTTATTCATGTAGCCCTTGTAAAGCTAGCAGGGTCATTTTGTCTGCATTGGCAACACCACCTCTTTTACCAGAGGAGATTCTTCCCCAGTTTGTTAAAGAATCACTGCTGGTTTTGATGACTGATCCTCAGTCTTGTCTTTCCTTCTGCTGTTCAGTGCCTGAGGAGCAGCTGCACAACATTGATGGGTATGATCTCAATGTCGTCCGTCTCTGCTTCCAAGCTTTCCTCCCCGACGAACATGGCAACTACACGTTAGCGCTTCCTCCTGTGATTTCCAACCCCATCTATGACAACAGTAAGTACCAACTCAGCCAAATGTGGGGTTTTTTTTCCTTTTGTTATTCTCTTTTGCTTGGGGTGAAAAATGCCAGGCCAATTTGAGGTCTATGCCGGTCTTCTGGGTCACCTCCGTGGCTTGCAACTGTTAGATGCCTGTCTAACACGTGGCAAGTCAGTGAGCTTATACTCAAAAGATGAACCCAGGGTGAAGTGTTGGCTGACAGTAAGAATTATCTGTCGCATCCATGGACTCATGCATGGGTGCTTTCTCAACCCGTGTTTGCATATCACAGTAATGACTGCAAGGAAAGCCTGCTCCTGACTTGCCAAGCAATTAAAATAAATAGTAGGGAGATGGGTGGCTGCCGTAAGACTGATCTGTTTTCCAAGGATGTCCTCTGCTTTAGAGAGAGGACCCATGAGGAGTGTTGGTACCCGTGAGGAGTCTTGCCTTTCTTTTGTGAGGGCTTTGGAGCAGGACTCGAGAGAGATTTGTCCCAGTGGGCAACTGTCTTAATGCTTTTATATCCTTTTGTATCCCGGTCGGTTGCCATTTTCAGTGTATAGGTAGGTATTAGAGGAATGTTTGATTTTGCTCTGGGAGGGTGCAGAAGTATGTGAAACACCCCTTCTTGGCACCGTTTTCCACATTCAGCAAAGTTGGACTTCTGTATGGTCGTAGTAGTTGAGGATTTTAGCCCTCAACGTGTGCTGGAATTCTTTGCTGGAAAAGAACAGCAGAAGAGCTTCTAATAGTTGGAAACTTTTTGGCAGTGTTTTTTATTTCTGCAGTGACAGTATTTGGATGCTAAATATTTAGTGTCAAGGGCCACTGCTTTAGCAGAAACTACTGAGTAAAACAAGGTCTGCTTTTTATAAAGTTGATGTTAGAATTGTGTTGATGTGGGCATAACCATTATGAAAACGTTGAATATGAACTTGAGTGTGTTTGATATTTTTAGAGTCTCATTCTAGAATTATCTAGAAGTTGAAATTGTGTGCATTGTTATTGAGAACCCTTGTAGTACTGAAGTAATTAGGGTTGAGATAAAATTGAGGTACAAGATTTACAGCTGTGTCTCGGATGCCATTTAGAAATACGCCAAATCATGATTACTCGTCTATGTTGATTGACGTCAGTCTAAGCTGCTGAAATAACAGATAGCTGTGTGGTGGGGGAAGCTTGTTTTTTTTTTTTTAGCGTGGGTGTATGTGGGCAGCTTCTGATACACTATAGGTATCTAAAATCCTCCCTGTAACACAGCAGCGGTATAAAGAAAACAGTGCATAACTGCAACCGCAAGTCATAAAAATCATGCCGCTCTTGTCTGGAACAGCTGTTTCAGATCTGAATTTCTTTTTAAAATGTTAGCCTTTTTAATCCAGCTCTATCGTACAGAACTGGGTAAGGTCAGGTTATAACTTTAGATAAAAGATTAAATTGTATGGTACAATGGGCTTGGAAATCCTATGTTGTTAGATTTCAAGCTTTCACAGATCTGTCCAGATCAGGAGCAAAAAGGTATTCAGAGCTGCTCTGAATATCAGTTTGCACATTTTAAATCTAGTATTTTCTTCACTTTCTTCATAGTCTCCACCTGCTTTGGATGGTAGAGATACATAAGAATAATACGAAGATAATACAGAGGCAATCCCATTAGCAGAGACTGCAAGTGTATAAAATTCAGTATCACAGGCAGCTTCTGTTTTCAGTTGCTTATAACATTAACTGGTTTTGAACAGAAATTTTTCAACTTGCGTATCCTATCACGCTGAAAACTCTTGGGAAGAGTCAGATGAAGCAGCTTACTGTTTCTGAGAAATGAGGTTAAGGAGAACACGGTGTTTTGCCCTTGTTGAAAGTGACACGATTTTTGACAGGAAGCTCGTTTTGCTAAGGTTCTGTTACCAGGGGTGTGTTTTTGGGGAGCAAGGAACAGCAACTGGGCACGAGTCGAGGTGATGAGGAGGCGAGGGCGTGCATGGGGGAAGAGATGGGAAGCATCACAGCATGACAGAGGCCACAGGGAACGACTCCCTCTGAGGCTGGCACTGAACTCGGCGTTCCTGCCCCGCACCTGGGCTGACAGCAGAGAGTGGTGTGTTACCCACATCTGCTGGTGTTTATGTTTCAGTCCTTTGTCCTCTCTTCTAAACTCCCCTTAAAATAAAAGACAAAACAACAAACTCCAGCCTAGGAGACCTTCCCAAAAACCTGTTAAAAAGACATTGAGTGCCATTCAAGCATACAGAAGTGAAACAAAGGTAAAATTAAGTTTCTCCTTGCAATTCTTAATTTACCCTTCCTGTGAAAAATGCACGATGACACTGTCCATCATATGATCCTCTGCTGTTTCTGGGTTTGTTTTGTTTCCCCTCCCTTCAAAGTTTCTGATTCATTCAGCGAATGAAGTGGCATGTGTCATGTTGTAAATGAGGCTGTAGCACCCGCTTCTCCTAAAAATAACAGTAATAGCTGCAGATTGTAACTACGTAATTGGGGTCTGGCCTGAGGTTACCAGGAGCTCTGTTTTAAGTGTAGTCCATGTTGTGCTGCAACGTACTTGTACAGTACCGTGAAAGACTGGGTAGGAATTGACTCAAACCGAGTGTCTAAAGTAGATTTTTTTTTTTTTTTTTTTTTTTGAGGCTCATACCATGAGCTTTTGTTTAGTATTTCATCTCTCTGCTTTTTTTTTTTTTTTTTTTTTTTGCTGCTCATACCATGAGCTTTTGTTTAGTATTTCATCTCTCTGCCTGGAACAGGGAGCCTGTGGTGGTGGAGCCTCATGTTGCTGTGGCGGGGGGAGGATTGGTTTCTGGGTTGCAAAGCAGCACCAGCTGGATCCTCCCAGGCATTTGAAATACATTTGGAGTTGATGTCTTGATGTAAGAAGACAAGACAACATCATGGCACAGTGTAGTTTCGTTCTGTTGAGATTGGAGGGATGGAAGAGGGTGCAGTAAACTATAAATATGGTCACAGACAGTAGCAGAGAAATGAGCATCACTTACTTCATACGTTAAATGAAGACGAGGTCTTAAAATTGATAGGTGGTCACGTACTTAAAAGTATTAACACAGCACATAGGCACAAGAGGTGAACTTTTGAAATAATAGAGTTCTTCCATTCTGGTTTTCATGTTTGTTTGTTCTTGTTACTTCTGAATCACTGTATTGTGACATTAGTGCCCTTTTAAAATGAATTGAAACATAGCTCACAAAGCTCCAAGGGGGCTGTTCTTCCTTGCAGTAGTCTGCTGTCTGTATTTACTCTGCAGGTAAAGCTGCTGCTACTGACCGGGGCCAGACACTGTAGCTACCTCAGGCAGTGCTTGTCTCCATCCCGCATGAGTTCCCTGTAGCCATCGGGTTGTTTGGATGCAGTGTGCAAACTTGGGTTACGGTTAATTTATTGCAGCACACAATGCTGCCAGAGATTGCGCACAGGGCAGCTCTCCATCCACAGCTATCATGAGTGCCGTCCACATACAGCCACAGCTTGGAGTTGAATTTTGAGCATTTTGGGATGAAATCCACTACCCTTAGTAAAGGCATGAAACCTAGGCTCCTAAACCTGTTCTGAAACACCTAGAGAAGTTTGATGGCCAAGTATGTCTGATATTCAGAGAGGGGAATTTTCTTGACTTGCCAACCCAGCTTTTTCCAGAGAAGCATGACTGTAACAGGTAATCAGTCACTCAAAGAACTGCTTTGAATTCTGCAGCTTGAAGGGCAGCAGTACTGAGCACAATCACGTCATTGGGGAAGTATTTTGAGACTACTTTAGAATAGTTACGGAGTGAGTGGCACAGCTGCACTGGTATTTTGTGTTTGGAGATGAGCGGTCGAGAGCTCTAGGATCATGCAACATCAAACCCTGCTTCCGAATTTCCTGTACGAAACAACTTGTTTAGTGTGGATTTTGGGGTGCCATGCTCCTCCAGCTGTTGCCTTCCCTTCACATGCCTTAAATTCCAGCACCTCATCCTCAATAGTGACAAAGATACAGTGATTCTTTATCATTAAATTTGCCTCTTTGTTTCCAGGAGCTCCCAACACAGCAGAATTAAGAATTTGTCGTGTGAACAAGAACTGTGGAAGTGTAAAAGGAGGAGACGAAATATTTCTACTGTGTGACAAAGTTCAGAAAGGTAATCATGACTAGGTTGGCTTTTTTTTCCCCCATCTTTGTTCCAAATGGCTGGCACTACCACTTTCTAGCTGGGGAATTTCAGCCCTTCACCATGCTCCCATGTAAGTGGTGGGAGCTGAGCAGAAGAGCTTTCAGGTTCAAGGGCTCTCAGCACCTCTGAAAGAGACTCGGTACCTTTAAAGTCAAGCCATTTAGTTTGCACTTAAATTCTGAGTCAAGCTCCTTTCTTTGTTCCCCTTCCCCCTTTTTTCTGTTGCAAATTTTCAGTTTTCAGTTTAACAAGCATCTTCTGTTTCTAATGGACTAGATGATATAGAAGTCAGATTTGTCTTGGACAACTGGGAGGCCAAAGGTTCCTTCTCACAAGCTGACGTTCACCGTCAAGTTGCAATTGTGTTCAGAACGCCACCGTTCCTCAAAGACATCACCGAGCCCGTCACGGTGAAGATGCAGCTACGAAGACCTTCAGACCAGGAAGTCAGTGAACCTATGGATTTCAGATACCTGCCAGATGAAAAGGGTATAGTTCCAATTAGTTAAGTTTCTTAAAAGCTGTCATCAGTGCAGAACTCACGTAGATGATAAACGGTAGCTTAATTAGTAAAAATTCTACAACTCTACCTCTGCAAAGTAGATTTTTGGTTTTTAAAAGTAACAATAGTCAGTTTGCTCCCTCTTTCAATGAAAATATCAAGAATCACTGTTAATAACATGGCCTTGATTAGTGCTGTCACATCTGAAATATTTTTCTTTAAATATATTTTACTACAATTAGGGGCCAGTAGTCTAAGTTTGAGAAAGTTCCCTTCCTAAGTATATCAAAGAGAAACTTAACACTTCTTCCTTCTACTCCTTTCTGTATAGATCCATATGGCAACAAAGCAAAAAGGCAAAGATCAACGTTGGCTTGGCAAAAGCTCATGCAGGACTGTGGTAAGGAAAATATTTGTCTTTTTCTTGTTTGAGTGAAGTTACATTTAGATGGAGTTATTTTACATAAAAGAAAACATTCAGTGTAGATTCATGCTTTCTTCCATTGCAGGATCAAATGCGACAGAGAGGCCCAAAGTAGCTCCATTCCCTGCTGTTGCCCCTGAAGGGAAGCTGATTAAGAAAGGTTGGTTTTCGCATGCATGTTCCAATCTGACAGCGGTTTGAAACAAATAGTGCCCGATAGCTGTAGGGAAGGGCGTTTTTCAGGGGGGCACCGAAGTTCCCAAGGCAGCAGTAGTGCCCATCCTCCTCTTACTCCTCCAGATTCTTCTCAAAGCCTAAGCCACGCTGCAACTTCTCTTTGCACAGGAGAGGGCTATGCCTCCTTCATCTTCAAGTGTTGTTAGCTTTCAGCGTTAATTTAGATAACTACTGATTTTCCTATGTGTTCAGATACTCAGCCCTTCAGACATACACTGGTTCCTTGCCTTCCCTTTGCTTGAAATTTTAATAATCTCTTGAGGGTTTCTTCTGTAAGATATTGGTAGTTTTGACTGTACAAACTTAAACCATCCGTTATTTACCTAAATGTAGCTATTGCCTTCAACATTTGCCATAGAGGGGTGAGGTTGGATAGCTGTCTGACTCCTGTCCAGAAATCTAGGGTCCACCCTGGAGAGCAGTTAAGTACGGAAGTGCAAATGCACATATAATCTTACTAAGATAGCACTGCTTTTGCTTTGCTTTTTACCTTTTGTGATTTCTTAAAAAAAATACAAAAAATGGCATTAAAATGTCTTTCCTTTCCATAGAACCAAGCATGTGTTCATCCGCACTGATGATGCCGGGGCTAGGAACCCTGGCCAATACTAGTCCGATCTACCCTGGCTGCAACCGGATTGCCCATCCACCTGCACAGCTGGGGCTAGGGAAGCAGGACACGCTCCCCTCGTGCTGGCCGGCGCTGTACAGCACCCAGTCTTCAGCCAGCAGCCTGCTCAGTGTGCACCCACAGAACAGCTTTGCGGCAGATGGGTCTCAGCCTGCTGCTCAGGGCAGCGGCGCTCTTCCAGCTTTCCACAACAACCCTCTGAACTGGCCTGAGGAGAAGGATTCAGGCTTCTACCGGAATTTCAGCAGCACAAATGGGATGGCAGCAGTGGCGGTGTCAACTGCAGACATGCAGAGCCTTTCTAGTAACAGCATTGAGCAACAAGCTCATCCTGCCAGCGTCTCCACAGCTACCATCGTGAACATGGAGACCGATGACATGAACTGCACTAGTATAAACTTCGACAAGTATAATCCAGTGTTAAATGCAAGCAATCACAGGCAGCAGCTCCATCAGGTGCCTCCGACTTGCCCATCTGTAGGAGCCCCGGGCAGCATGCCTTTTAATTCGCAGTGTAACTTAGCTGATACAGCAGTTTACAGTTTTATAGACCAAGAAGTTTTAAGTGACTCAAGACTATCCACCAACCCAATCCCAAACCATCAGAATAGCATTGCAGACAACCAGTATTATGACACCGACGGTGTCCACACTGATGAGCTCTATCAGTCTTTCCAATTTGATAACATATTACAAAGCTATAACCATTGAGCCAGCAGGGTCAGGCTGGAAGCAGGGACAGAGCTTTAAAATGGCTAGCTGTGTGAAGAGGAGTACCTTACCCTTCTGGAGCCTGTGCTTTCTCTTTCAGAATGTTACTCTGCGAGTTTCATGATAAAACTTCCAAGTTCTTTATTACAGCCCAAGGACCGGTGCCCATGAAGGAGAGGTGGGAGTAGGGTTTGTGGTTCTGTACCTTAAAAGTACCTTGTACACATATTTTTACACTGTTAGAAAAGGGAACTGTTAACACTTAAATCCTCCTTACCTTTGGGGACTGTGGCATCTTCAGAAGGGTTAAAACTTCAAATACTTCACAGGGTTAAAATTGTTTGAAAAATAACAAATTTTGCTACGGAAATTAAATTTAAATTTTGATAGGACAGAAATTAGGAAAAAACCCTGCATGTGGGCACTCTAGTTCAGACTTGCCAAATGATCTTAAAAGTTTTACTCAACTTACTTGAAAGCTTTAGGTTTTTCTTACCCTCTCTCATATAAAATATTCTTCTCCTAAAACAAGATCATGCATTGATTTTTCACATTTTCACCACGCTCCATTTGCTTTGAAGGCAAATTTACTCTAAAATTTTTTTAATGACTATGTCATTGTTAGATATATTTTAAAAGACCGGAAGGTTTGAGTTTTTGAATAGTCCAGCTCTGTTGTAAATTAACCACTGCACAAAAGAACAAACAAAGTAAGGACTTCTCTGCACTTCATCCAAAGTGCACTATTTTAAATAACAAACCCCTGTTGCTTTAGGAGTGGAGCACGCTGTTATTTCTCTGGAAGTGTTTGTGTGTGCGTGGATGTGTGTGTAGCTGTGATGTGTGTGTCGGTTTGAACTGCAGAACTGTGTTGAGCCGAAGCACCTACCTGTTCTTTCCTCAAGTATCCCGGCAGTTTCCTGCTATGCAAGTGACTGCTTAAAAGAAGACTCGGATCCTGCCTCCCCCTCACCCGCACCCAAGGAAGCTGTGGGGCAGACCCAGAGGCAGTCTTAGTGCAGCCTCCTCTAGATGCACTCTATTAACAACCTCGGGCCATTTCAGTCAGTACTAATTAAAAACACACTTCTAGACTCTTGTATCAGAAACCAGAACTTCCTCCCTCCCACTTGATTTCCAGTCTTCATTCTTAGCCTGAGTTGCGAGATGTTCAGTGAAAACTTGCGTGGATATAACTGGCTACGTAAGACACTCTGCATTATAGACCTTTGCTATTTTATTACTAACATTTTTTAAGAAGCAACACAGCAAGAAATGTATGAGATTTCTTAAGTTACACAGCTGTTTTGTATGTCAGATAAGGCTTAAGAATCTAACTGTTACTGTTTGGCAACATAAAACTGCACCATGGAAAGAAGCAATTAAAAAAGCACACTCAGATATACAAAAAACAAAAACTGCAACCCCAAATCAAAAAAGCCATTTGAGAAGCATAATTGTACCCAACTTGAGATGTGTAGTTGTACCCAAGGCAGAAAGGAACTCCAAAACCTATCTGTAGTTTATAGGAAAGCAATGACTCCTTAACTGCAGTAATTCATTGCATTCAAAGCAATAACGTGCTGCTGCTGTAGTGCATTACACCCATTACACAGGTTTGACAGAGTATGCTCTTTAGACAATGTGCAGAGTGTATGAAGTTTGGAAAACTGCTTCCCCTGACTCCAGGTACACAATACAGTGAATTGACTCTCCGTGTTTTGAAGCAGTTTCTCCTCACTTCTGTGTAATACCTTTTTCCAGAGCTCCTCTGCAAGTCTTAAGTAATAGAAAGACCAAAGAAATACAAAGAAAGCTTGAAATGTGTTGTTTATTTGGTTCTTTTTTTGAAGTTCTCAATTTTAAGTATATTAAATGTAAACATTTTACTTCATAGAAAGCTCTTTATAGAACAGGTTTTTTTTACAGTATAATTAAATATTGTCAAAGTTCTGTTTTCCTTTGTAAATGAGTTGGTTTGGTAATTAAAAACCTGGTTATACTAAGTACTCGGCTTCTGCAGCCTTCTCAGATTCACGACATCTCTCACCACAGGAAAGCCGGAGAAATGGGAGAAGGTAGGTTATGGGTTGCTTATCTTGGGGCTTTTTAGAGTATTTTCTGCTTGCAATTACTGTTGGCCACTACAAAACAAGTAATGTGCGCAGGAAGCATTCATCTGCACTTAGCAATTTTTTGTGGCAGAGCACTTGACTTTTTTGTCCAAGGGGCAGAGAAGACAGATGCTTTCATGCTCAGCTAGAGCTGTGCTACTAGAGCTTTCTCCAGGTTCAGCTAACCTCATGCAAAAAAAATGTAGGGGATGCATTATTGGTGATGAGTTGTTGGGAGAAACACAACGGCTTTAAGTCCTTCCGGTGTAAAGAAGGATGGTGCCAAGGAACACTGGACCTCATTTTTGAGTAGTTTTCACATAATATGCTAGAAAACACCTACCTCTTTCACATGTCTCATGAATAAGATTAAATCTTATTCTCACAAGATGTCCTATGTGAGTACTCATAAGCAGGTCTTTTAAAACCAAGATGAAGGCCAAAGTACAACATTAATCTTATTGCTGCAATATCCACTAGAGATTATGATAGTTCAAAGTGTTTACCTTGTATTAGAAACTGCAGACTTTAAGCAAAGTTCAAAAAAAAACAGATTACATCTCTTTTTCACATGATCACTGAACAATTCTAAAGAGCTGTAGAGATAACTTGCACCAGCTTTTTTTTCACCTCATTGGGATACTTCACATTTATCGTAAAAATAAGCAATTTGGGATTTTTTTGATGGACCTCTCTACATTGTATGGAGAAATTAGACTCAGCATATTTATCTGCACTTTGATTCTTAACACGGTTGCCTCTGTCACCATGATAATGTACAGCAAAGTGCAGAAAGCGCTGCAGATGAGAGCTCTGCGAGTGTCCATGCGCTATGTCAGGAGCAGGAGCCCTCTCTGCTTCTGCCTCGTCAGCTTCGTAACCCCCCTTGGAACAGCCCTGCTCATGTCTGCTGTTGTCCATAGCACAGTCTTGTTTACCCCCCCTCCCCCTGTAGTTTATGGAATTTATAAATCGTATTTTAGCTCACTTTGGGTTTCAAGAAATCACATAGATATGAGACTGAAATTCTCTTTTGTTTTCTGAATTCAGTTTCTTAAGTTTTCCATCATTCATGACGCTTCCTTTCTGGGTACTGATTATTATCTGAGACAACTACTCCTGCAATGTGTTGCTCATGACAGCTTTTCAGATTAAAAACAAAATATTGCTGTCTGAATCATGTTCCTATTATTTTTGTGTTAGAAAAATGGGCTTCTGAACTACTGCCATACTTCTATTACAGTGGACTAGGAAAACAAATCACGAGAGACAAGTTTTGACAGCCCATCACATGCAAAGTGTATAATATTTAGACTAATTTTTCAAGATCAGCTTTTAGGACCTCCTTGAAAATGTATTTCTTAATGTCTTTTCGAGCCTTCAGCTAAAGTTATCATGCAGCTGTTCTATCACGAGGTCCTGGCACCACCAAATTGATGCTAAGACATCTCAGTAATCCTCCCTGTCTCCAGACAGTGGTTTGTCTAGGCCAATATTACCCTCTTTATTTCTGAAATATTAATTAACAAAGAGTCCTTAAATTGCAAACCTTAATTTCTTGTTGATAACTTCCTTCTGTACTTCACGCAAGCAGAAGCATCTTCCTAATGGATTTCCATGACAGGCATAGAAGTAGCTTTTCCTAAAGATGTAGGTGGTGGGACCTGGCTAACAAACATAATCCTGCAGCCCAGGCCCTGCTTTGTTTGAAACATTTAAAATAACACAAATAAATAAAACTCCCTCAGGTCTTCTCTATTCCAGACAAGTTCCTAGACAATGTTCAACTCTTCCAGGCATCCATCCAAGGTTGGATACTAGAAAACTATATTGTGCTATAAACCAAAGCTTTTTATCTCTGACTTGTTCTCTCAATACCAACATTTTTCAGTACATCTCGTATTTGCCTGTGCTTTGGGGTTTCTTCATGTTCCTTTTTTTCTCTAGATTTCCATCGTGCACCACTGCCAGGAGTTTCCAGTCTTTTTATATATGGTGACTCAGCTGGGGAAATCCTATGCCTGAAGAGGACTGTAACCAGGCCAGAGAGCTGTTGAGGCCTCAAGTACCTCAATGGTTGTTTCTAGGAAGAAACACTGATGTTTTTAAGTGAGAAAAACTTGGTTTTAAGTGCAAAGTTTTCCTCTGAAAGCTGTTTTTCCCTTTGAAAAGTACTTTGGAGACAAATTTGCCCATCTCTAAAACTGTCACTGACCAAGAAGCAGAGAGCAGAGTGCTGCCTTGTTGCAGGCACTATTGTAGGGGTTTCAGAGTCTGCTGACTTTTGGGAAATACTCCTGCGTGAATAGTGCTCAGAAGAAGTTAGGACTGGGTTTCAGGTAACTCAGTGCTACCTGCATCCAGACAAGAAGTTTTAATTAAAAATAACCCTCCCTCAAGCCGTATTTTCTTAAACATTTTAAACTACAGCAGAAAGCATATTTGATGTACTTGCTCAGTACACCATTTGCATGTTACACCATTTACCTTTTTCTTAACTGTTTTCTAAAAAGACTTCTTATTGATACACTAGCTTACCAAATTTTATGCACAGAAGACATTAAAATAGGACTAGAGGTTGAATGAACACTACCTGTTCCAGACTGTTTAAAGTTGATTGAAAGCACAGTAGCCTTTGGCAGATCAACATGATCCAAACGTTCAACAGAAATACTTTGCAACCAAGCTGTAATACTACACAGTGTTCAGTAACCAGCTGTTGACAGAGTTGCTGCTTCTTCCTTGTCTTAACTTGAAAAGTTAATTATCCAGGGTTGGAGGCCAGTCAACATCAACAGACTAGAAAAACAGGGAGGAGAAAAAAAAAAGGCACAATCAGCAGACGATATTTTACATATCTAAAGAGACTTGCTCTGAGAACTCTAT